ACACACGGGTACTAATATTCATATTAATCATATAATTAGTTATTCAATTATGTCCAAGTAAATTCATATTTAGATGAGTTATACATAATTAGTAATGAATGTTAAATTTTAAACGAAAAATGTTCCCCTCTTTTTCTTCCCCTGGTAGACCGAGACGAACCGACAGGCATGCTTGAGGGCGAGTGTGAGTGTGTTGAAGAAAACATTCACATTCACACCCACACCCACGCCCCTCTTGTGTTTAATGCAAAATAAATAACCGGGTTCATAACGAAAATGCAAACGTCTTCGAGTAAAATATAATAAGAAAGAGTTGTTCGAATTATTTGGTTATATGCTATTCAAATTAGAAAATGACATTCTACAGATTGTCGTTTTTTTTTAGTTACAACTATTAGTATCTTAAACTAAAAATTGATAATCATATAAAATATTAATAAAAAATAAAATAAAATAAAATTTTTATTTTTTTATTAATTTCTTTCATGTACTCAACAATTTTTTTTTTTGTTTTAATTAAACATTCACTATAAATCTATATAATATTTATCATATCCATCAAGTAATTGATAATTAATTTTTATATTGTTGAATTAAAGTAACTTTAACGAAGAAAATTGTCAAAGTTGTAACTTTGTCAATTTTGTATGACGAACTTATAACTTCATCGATCGATGTAACTTTTTCGATACGACATATATTAATGAGGGTGTGGGTGTGAGGCTGAGTTTCTGTTGAAATGACACGCACACCCACACCAACAGCTCTGAGCTATCAAAAACCGTATTTAGAGTACAAGAGGGGGGTTTTGAGCAACAATACCCCTTCAAAATACCACCATTCGATTCAGTATGAAATTCTGTACCTAACTCAGTTGGAATGAGTGCCAACTCAGGTGGAATAACGAATTCGGACAGGCATTACCTGGGAAATCAGCTTCCAAAACTAGTATTTGGCGTACAAGTGGCTTTTTTTGACCGACAACCACCCTTGAAAATGATACCATTCGATTCAGCATGAAATTCTGCACCTAACTCAACTGGATTGAGAGCCAACTCAGATGCTATAGCGAATTCCGACAGAAAATGACGAATATGGTGCTAACTTTACCGCCGTTTAAAACTGATCATCTTTCAAAAACATGCCAAATAAAGCATGAAAATGACTTGCCATCTAGATGATATTTTGTTTTTGACCTCTGATTTGGGTAGAGGGCCTTCAGATCGACAGTTCAAGATACAATATGCTTTCTTACATTTCATTGCATTTTCATCGAGATGTCAAGCTATTATCATAAAAAGTTCGAAAACCTAGTAAAAAGTCAGCGAAATTTCTTATTATTTGCGCATGTTCATACATGATTCCATTTGCTCAATGTTAGAATGTAAGAAGAAAACTATTTGCATTGTATCTTGAACTATAGATCTGAAGTCCCTTTATCTAAATCAGAGGTCAAAATCAAAATTTCATCTAGATGGCAAGTCATTTTCATGCTTTATTTTGCATGTTATTCAGAAGATGATCAGTTTTAAAAGGATTTCGTCTTATACGTTATCAAGAGAAAATATATCCCCACCTCTCCCATTTCAATTGGTGAAAACCGCAGGTCGCTAGCCATTGCGGTTGTCGAGTTATTCGACTTACACTCACCCCTCTTTAATTCTGGTACCGACAATAAGTGCCGGCAGAAAAGTTACTAATCGGCTACGTTTACCGATTATCTCAAGGGAGAAACGACTGACTTGGCGACTATTCTGACGTTAATGACTTTACAAAACATACACCCCCGCGCACTAAAATAAAATGTGTTGCATGTATCGTACTTTGTGACACATTTTGTTCAGCGGCAGCTCGACACATTCTGGTATGACGCATGCAACACATTCTGAAATCGTGGTTCGAATCTATTTTGCAGAGCATTTTTTATTTATTTTTTTTGTAAGAGCAAATTATGATGGGTGTTTTTTTCAATTTTTCCCATTTAACTATTTATATACTGAAAACTGAGGCAGATCAGACCTTGAAATCTGTTCGGCCTCGAGTTGGTCCGATCTCCATCAGACAGCTTCAGGATAGCCCTCTCTCAATCATGGATCGAGGGCAACATGTTCTCGATTTACAAATAATCGAGAAATAGTCTAGAAAAAACATTAATATGAAAATATATAAGTTCCATAAGTTCAGTCGAGTGGTCTTTATGGAGCCGTTTATGCAAAATAAAACGGTGAATGAATAGACAGCAGAAAAAAACGCAACAAATTCATATATGACACATTTTATTTTAGTATGTGGACAGAAGTCTTATTCTTCTCTTTCTTATTGTGCTGTCGTACTTCATATCCATCAAATTTATTACCAACTAAAGATATGACATAAGAGTTTTATTTCAATATGGTATACAGATCATACTGAAATAAAGCTCTTATGTCATATCTTTAGTTGATAATAGATTTGATGTGCATGAAGTATCGTAGCATAATAAGAAAGAGGAAGAAAAGACTTTTGTTCACGAGTGCAAGTGAAGTTAGTCGTGGATTCGAATAATTTCAGCAAAGATTCATCCAAAAGCCTGTTTTAGAGTTCCTAGTGAGTATTCCAAGTACAACTTGGCCAGCTCTGTCCAATAGCGTAATTAGATTTCCAATAATCCATTTAATGTTTTTCAAAAACTTCAAACTATTGGTAAATCAGCATAAGTGTTTTGGAACTATTATAGTAAATACATCAGCGACTGGTCTACGAACCTTGGAACACATTCTTGTACTTGTCCAAGTATAACTTGACGAGCTCTATCCAGTAGTATAATTAAATTTTTCATTGTTCAAATAACTAAGGAAAATGATTAGCTGGTATAAGTCTTTCTTCGTAGTATTCAGTTCTGAATCTGTGCTGTCTCTCTGAGTGAGAGTGATGGATGCAGACTTTGATTCTTTGCGGAATGATGATTTTTTGATGAACATCATGAGGTAAAAGGTAGGTGTTTACTAAAATACTCTTTGCTTAACACTTTTCTACCAGCTTATCATTCGACATATGTGAAAACCTTGGAAGTATTCGTTCACGCTAAATGCGCTGATGAATTGACTTGAGATTAAAACCGCGTTGCTTTCAATCAATATTTTTTTGGATCATGAAGTATAGGAGTCGCTTAATATTTTCATTAGCTGTAACAAAATGATGCTCATTTTGTGATGCAGGTAAAACAACTATGGTAAGGTACAGTGAGTCCATTCACTTCAATGTTCGTGTAGCTGAAATGAATTAAAGTGAGAAGTGTTCAAGAAATATATTAGATGCTATGCAGAGTCAAAAGTGAGTTGAAGTTTTCGTTGTGCAGATTGTTGTACATATTCCTGTGACCTATCCTTGTCGAGCCGTAAAAAATATAATTTTTCTATCAAATAGAGTTCATCAGATTGTTATTTAGAAAAAATAAGCAAGTTTTGGAACAAGAGTCTAGGCGAATCCTACACGGGAATACTTGGATATTAAGTTTATTGATAAGTGAGGGTGCTTGTATATAGAGTTTTTTCGAACATAGTTTGAGTTATGGAATATATAATTATATCATGGAATAGAGTTCGTCAAGTTTCACTTGAAACACCGACTAGAAGCTCTGGAACAGGTTCTAGAACGAATCGACGCTGGAACTATTTAACTCGAATCATGTTCTCTATAACAAAATATCAGTATTTTAGAATCTTTGAACACACAGTTTGAACTATTGGAAACCTAATTATACCGTTGGATAGAACTCGCTGAGTTGTAGTTGTAACATGTCCTTGAGCGAATTGCTGATAGAATTACTCCACTTCGCTGCTAACTTTAATTACGTCTTGAATCTTAAGTGATGCTGCGTCATCTGGACCGGCAAGCTAACCTATAAGATTGTAAAAGTCATCATCATGGTAGGTAAACACATTGAAAGCAATACTTGAGGGTTCACAAATAGTTTTCGTGCAGCTATAAATTTAAAAGTGATATTAATATAAAATTAAAAAATGATACGTATATTAAGAGAGTAACAACGACTGCTCACGCATAGAAATGACAAGTGAAAACTGATTGATGCCTAGTACACATGAGTTATCTATATGTATCTTTTTCTTTCACCTGTTTTTATATGTGTATCTGTTAGAAAAGAATGTGAAGAAAACATTTTACAGAATACGTCGTCGAGATTGAATAGAAATATGTATTTCTTTATTCTATATTAATGTTCCTTTAGCCATAAAAAACTAACATACAGTACTTTTCTGGTGTCTCCGGGTATCCTGTACTAAGCTCTGTTACGGACTGAAGAGTGTTAACTGATAACTATGAAAATTTCCAAGTTGATCTCTTTTTAGATAAAATTTGATAGTATTCAATATTTATATTCTGCTGTCATTGATTCTTGATGATTTTTGAAATCTGCTATAATATATGCACTTGTTTCGAAGATTCTCAGCTAATTTTTCACTTACTTGAATTTTCAAATGCCTGAAGTCTGTTGACTTTCACATGATTTTCATGACCTTCTTGACTTTGGTAACTTTTTCTGACTTTAATCACTTCGATGATTCAGAGTTCACTCAAGTCATCAAAATTAGTCGTTTTCCCTTGGTTTAGCTTTAGTAAACCGGTGCATTCCTATTTGAGGATCTAAAGCAGTCTGCTCAGCTTTTTTAAAGTTTTTATTTCACTACAAAAGAAATATTGTACTGTCAATAATATTTTCAGTCGTGTCGATACACTTCGATTTATTCTCGATTCTCACAATCAACCTACATTGCAAACGTATAATAACTTTCATTCTATTATTCAACATGAATTATTTCAATGATGTATCAATGATCAACATACTTCCGACACAGTTATGCAACCATCAAAATATATTCATATTCTAGTGGCCTATTTTACTTATCACTTATCCATAACAAACCATGTGGCACTCTTCTAATAAACGAACTCCATACGTTTTCTTTTCTATTCTAGCAATTATCGTTATTTATCTGATTATGCGATACTATAGACAAGAATCATATCCATCCTATGCTAAATTACGTAAGAATTCTATTGGTATCTTAACGAATACTATCAGCATTTCATCTTCTTCTCCGCTAGCAAAAGTACAAAACAAAACTGCTGTTGTACATGTAGCAGTTGTTCTCGCTTTAGCTAAAGAAGCCAGTCATATTGCTGAATTTCATTTATTATATGAATCATGGCGCTTTATTCAGAACTTCTGGCCACTCTCACGACAAGTTTCCATTGATTTGATTGTATTTTGTGAACAACCAAGTTGTCATCAATTACCATCGGCTTGTTTACCTCTTTCCTACAAAACGAACTTAGATATCATAGCGACTTGTTTTTATGAAATATTAAATCCAAAGATAGTCGAAGAATGGAGTGATTATCTCTATATGACATCAATTGCCTTCATATTAACTGAAGAATATCGACGAGCAACTATCGATTACCATTGGATCTTGAGAGTGAATCAAGATGCTGTGTTAAGTCCCGGTTTGCTAATGGGTTTAATTGGGAAGCATCCGACAAAATTGCTTCCTATGCAATTTGGAGGGATCGGTCATGGAACCGAATTTACACATGATCGACTACGAAAGATTGCAAAGAAACTCGGCTACAACCATTCAAGTATACATAATCTATGTTCGACATGGTTAGTCAATCCACATGACTCGGTGAAAATTGCAAATCTGACAACAATCATAGGCAAACATTTTTTAATAAATGAATTTGGACATCAGGTTCCAGGTATGAAACAAATACTTTGTTTTTTTCTTGCTCTTCAATAGGTTAACGATCAAGGGCAGTTGAATGAAAGATAACTGTCTTTTTTGTAAGAACTGCTATTCAATAACTGAGAAGAAAGAAGAAATAGATGTAGTCGATCATTTGTACACTAATTCAGTCTTGTAGAATTATGAGTATTGATCAATCATTTTGACTGATTATAAAATACGTCTTAATCGAACATTGCGATTACTCTCCATAGCTAAATTAGACCTTTGTTACTGTGAAGCCTAGGTTTCCTATAGAAGGTAATTTTATTCGAATAATTTGCTGTGAATTTGTCAATCAAGGTTCATATCTAAGCTTGAAGTATTTTCCATCACCAGTTCTATCACTTGTAGATTGTATTAGAAATTTTTGTATAGGTGCCATCTTTTAGTTACATCTAGAGTACTGTCGATATGCTTTTCTTGAAACACCTAGTGATAATGAATGTTGAAATGTATTGCAAGAAAGTTGAAATCATATTTTCTTCTGCCATTCTTACAGTTAGTGAAAAAGTACTCTTCTAAATAAAGCATAGCCTAAAGGTTGTTCTCATTTAGGCATCGAAGACTTATCTGATAATGGAGAATGGCCCAAATGGTGGCGAGATATCACATCATTGTATGCTGCTGAGATCGCTATCAATCATATTTATTCATCAACCCTTGGCCATCAACATGAATCCAATGCTCTAGATCATCCATCTTTTTCAAAAGATTCTGTATGGAATGTTTGGCATATTCATTGTTTACATAATGACGATTATTTTTCCAAATTCAAACATCGAGACGAATTACAAGAATTCCTAAAACATTCGCAAGAAGATCGAATCAAAGAAATTGTCAATACCAGTTCTAGAGATATGCTTCTATTTGAAGTTTTGAATGAATATGAAAAGATGCAAACGAACGATGGTATACCAAATGGTAAAACAACAATTCGTGATTATGTCAGAGCCTTGGCATGGAGAAAAGCTTATTCAGCTGTTGGTGCTATTAATTTGAACTAGAGACATGTGTTGCCACAGTATATATATCAAATAGATTATGCTGAGCGAAAAATAAACAGCATAGGATGAAATATAAAATTGTTTCAAAAGGTAGTGTTGCGACTTTAAATAGTATAAACAAGACTCGATACAAGTCATCGCCGTCAGTTCGAAGAACGGCAGACATCAGTAGTGAAAAAACTCCAGAATTATTAGGATACAAACACTTTTGTTCATCGACGAAATTCGTCTAGTTCTCAATAAAAAAAAATTGAAAGCTAACTTTTTGCTTGTTTCGATCGACTTTCGACTTTGTTCATTCAAGTGTGATAAAGGCAACCAAGGTCTTGAAACTAATAATATGTAGAATACCTCTATCATATCGATATCTTATCAAACAATCCATTTGACTAAACTCTTTTTTTGATATGTTCGTCCATTTTCAATCAAATTAGTCTACTTTTCTTTGTATGAGAGTAGAATTTCATATATTACCCAGGCTCATGATTATTGTTATCAGACACATAAAATAATTAGAAATTAAAAGTAAAGCTTCAACATTAGAAAATTTAAATCGATTCGATGTAACTATAATTCTATAAAATTGGTCAAGCGTATACTATGTCCTATCGTTAGGAAGATTATTTCATTCAACTTGTAGTTTTCCTTAAAATTAGTACAATCATTTTTGTATTTTTAAGGAAAAATACAAACAAAATAAAATAATCTTTCAAAAAACAAAATCTACGATTGATCTGCATTATAGAAACCCTAGGTTGAACTAGACTCTAACATAATCTTATTTCATAGAAAAATTTGTTAGTTTTATGCGACAAGAATATTTTTTTAAAATTTCTCACTACAATTACTTCATTTTGTCATCTTAGTCTTTACTGAGAAAGGGTCGTGATCTTCGATACACTCTTTTTAGGCTTCACTTTTTCAACCTATTAGAATTAATCTTTTATTTAGTTTTTATTTAGTTTTGAGTTTTTCAATGACAATCATCAATAGATACACTGAATAGAAACGTATGAGAAAGATAAATACATGTATATAAGGATCATCTTTTCTAACATAAGTTTAATATGTAAGACTCTTACTTAAACAAGATTAACATAGAAATATCGAGATTCTTGTGTGTGTGTTTTATTATCTGGTATTGAAGAAAAGCAGACTTTAATGAAAAAGAAAAAATATTATTATTCTTATCTTTCAATAAATTTTGTCAAGCATTTCAGTCCTTTCCTCATCAATCAGAAACAGTTTTCAATCATTACTAAAAGTTTAATTTATTAGAATAAAATTATATTGCAAAGAGAATTTCTCGAAAGTTATAAATTTCGAAGGTAACTGTTTTTTTCTTTGCATTTTAAACCTGTCATACTTCTATCATACATGTGTGCTACCCGCGTGGCGATGGAATGTACCGCAAAAACGACCACATTGCGACTTGACGTCAAGTATGATTTATTTTTAGACGGATGCTCCGTCTCCGCCTGTCTTTTTATTTGTTCACCGAGCAGCTATGCCTCAATCATACCAGCTGTTAAATTCTATTGCTAAATATTTTAAAAAAATGAGCGTCAAATGCTGAAAAAGTTGAGAGAAGGCATTTCATCATTGATTGACTTATTCTTTTTAAGATGATGTTTGTTTTATTAACCTGTTTCATATCCATTTGTTAAATTTATAAGTTAAATCATAATCAATGTTAATTAACAATTATACTGATAATTAATTCGCTTAACTGTCAACTAAGGAAATTTCATTGTAACGAGCATAATATTGAAATTTATCTTGTATTCAAAAATGCATAAGTTTAACTGTAAAATAAGTTAAGGTCACATCTTGCCTAATTAAATATTTTTCCACGATATTTTCAACTTAATGTTGTTGTTCTTAGGTACACGTTCAGAAATGAAGCACTATTTTGTACGAAACGAACCAACTTTTCAGTTACCGTTAGGAGAGATCGCCCGAAAGAGCAGAGTGACTGCGCTGCGTCCACCTCTTTTTCTAGGTGTGATGTACATATATTTGACTCCAATTCTTATTAAGCAGAACTCAGAATATAACAAACTTTAAGAATAGTCTGTGTTTTTAAGAAAACTATTTTTGATGAAATATTGTAGAAAAAGAAACAAAACTTAAATTGATAAATAGTTTGTCGTCTTTTCATATATTATTGATAGAACTTTTTCATTAATTAATTTATTCCGGTTTCATTCAACCGAGTATATTTCCAGCACACTCACAATTAATGACATTTCGAAAACTGATCTGTCAAAACTCTCAAATAACGATGCATTGGATTATTATCATTTCTATTACATCTGAATCTTTGATGAAAATGAATCAAATGATATCGACAATGCTGTATCCATTGACCTCGGTGACTTTTTTCTATGTTGAATTTGACGCTTTCAACAATATCACCTTGCTTATTATCATAAACAACAAAAGTATGTGTTCTTATCGGTCATATCTTTACCTGTTATGGCCATTTCATTCTAGATTATTCTACTGAATACTTTCATAGAATATTAAATGATACAGATCATAATATTGATTGAATTTTTCAAAAACAATTTGATTTGCATAAAAATCTAAATATTGAATACCAACGGAACAGATGTCCCTTTATGCTAATATAAACTGTAATAGTTTTCATCATTCGCCCAATTTAAATTCGCATATAAGTGTAAAAGTAGTTTCAATAGTCTATTTTCAATTCAAAAACATATATATCTAGTCTTGACTCTGAAGCAGTTTTTTTACTACGAAAATTAAAGACAGAAAAGTTTATATGAATTATCATTGAAATTTGCAATAGAATCAGAAATTTCTAAGACTATCCTGGGATCAAATCCGTCTTATATTTCTATTGATTCGTCTATTTTATTTATATTTTTCCACAAATTAGTAGAACATGCAAGAATTTATCAATTGTATTCCATATAATTTCTAATAGACTTACAATTCACTAGTTTTCGATGAGAAAGTAATTGATCAATTGAAAATGTTTTCTTGTCAATGTACAAAATTTCAATTATGAACCAAATATTTTTGTCAGATGAAATTGAGATAGATGAGAATTTGTTTTGGTTACTGAACTCAATCTTTCATCAGTTATTTCATGATATTGATTTATTAAGTAAAATCCATACAAGTTAAGTATGATTGTTCGATTTTCAACAATGATTTGAATGTTGATTACAACGTGGACATAGAAATACTGTACTTGTTCCAAAATCTAAGTTTGAGCTTATCAGATTTTATTGCATATAGATACAGTAAAACATCTCTCAGTGAACATCCTGTTATACCAAGCACTCATGGATACTAAATGTGAACATCAGTAGAAAGCACTACTTAAATAAATTATTGAATTAAAGCTATGATAGTGCTTATTCAGAAATTAATTGACTCAATGACTTAGTTCAATGAAGATGAAAGAGAAAAACAAAAACTAACATATATCATTGTCTTATTCAACAACTTTTCAGCATTTGTCTATGAGATATGATATCTCGCAACACTCTTCATTCATAACAAAAAATATGAATTTAATCGAAAATAAAGAAAGCAGTTTATCTTATCGTGAATTAAGAGATGTTGTCTCAAATATTCATAAGAGAAAAAATATATATATTGTTCATATATAAAACTAATCTTAGCAAAAAAGTGAATCATTATTTTAGTCAAACCATTAATGATAGTCCTTCAGCCTAGTTAGATAAGACATGCACATGATATTCGAAATTTATCCTATGTTCACAGTACGGCGTAAGAGTTTGGGTATAAGCTGAACAACTCGACAATGGCGTCAGTTTGAGACGTATAATTTTCAGAACACCAATAAGGAGAACTCCAGACATCTTTTTTAATTGATACAATGTAAGATTAAATTATCTTAAAATCCATCATCTTGTCAAAACATTAAAAAATAGATGAAAACAATGTTTCAATTCAAAGAAATCTTAATAAGAAGCTAGAAAAGAACTTTCTTGGATTTCGTGATCTATCTTGAATCAGAATATTCTATATAAAGGAGTCGGTATGAACGATATTTTAACAATACTCAAAGATTCTTTAAAATGGCTTTACACACTAATAATTAACAAAGCATCTTCTTGTGAATTGATATAAATAATTCTTTCATAAACTGAAAAATGTTGCTTTGGCCTTTAGATCCCTGGAAAAGAGTATGACTTATATGGACATATTTATTTTTACAATAAACAGGAAATATTTATGGATTCTTCTAGAATTTCATATATAAATGATACCTAGGCACTTGGACTAAAAAACTTAAAAAAGAAATAATAAAAAAACAAGCTTCCTTGTGCAAATTTATGCACGTACTTCCCTCCACGAATCTGTAAGCAGAAAGTTTTGTTTTCCGTTTATAAAGGCGTTATGTTAATTAGTTCATCAAGAGATACTTTGATTATTGGTACATAAAATATTTTAATAGAACTCATGAATTTTGTGGAAATATTGTCCATATACTGGCTCGTTTGTATAGAAAAATAGCCTTTTCTAGGAAACAATTGTGCACGTTGAAAACGAAATCCCTAATGTTTCAAAAAATGTTATATATCAAGTATATGGAGTTCGATAGTGTTCAAATTTTGAGAAAGTTTGCTCGTAAATGCTCACTTCACTGTTGCACAGAGTTACATACACTGAAATCTCATGTAATCAAGAAATAACCTAAAACTAAGAAATGAGACAGTTTTTAATTATGAAGAAAATATTGAAGCAATCTATTGATTATAGAAAATTCAAGGACACCTATAACTATATTGGATGGAGTTTAAAAGCAGAATTTGCATACATTTATCATGGAGCATTTTAAGAACCATAATGTCTATCCTATCAAAAGTTGAGGAAAACTTGATTTCTTATATACCATTGAATGTACACAGAATCACTCTACAAAACCTCATATATAGTATCCTGAGTCAAGCTAGATCACGAAATCTAATACAGTCATTTTCTAGCTTTTTATCAGA